TACATTTGGATCATCCGAAGGGTTCCTTGTCAAATGTTAACTTCACTCTAATCTTTGAAGTTTTTCGAAGGGTACTGCCTGATGTGGCAGCCGATATAGTCATGCGTAGGATTCATGCTATTCTGCCTGTCAAACATACATTTCAGGATCTGTGCATTTTCTTTCTTACTCGTGATCCACTCTGAAAAGATTCTGTAAATCTAGGTAGCGCAGAGAAATTCTCGATTGAAAATTATATACAAGATGTAGAAGTTAAGCTTGACGTATGGAACTGTCTGCATGCTGCTTCTTTTGCATGCTGAGCACTGGACAGAAATTAAGAATAAGGATCAACTGAGGTTCTAAACTTTACGGCTCACCAGGGCTACTGGATATTGCTGCAAGTGGGATGATACAGTAACATTAAAGAGTCTGTATACCTAGAACCTCGTAGACAGGAATGGTTTGGTAAAGATGTAGACCAAGTGGTGTTGAATATTGGAACGCACAAGGCCATCTCAATTATCAAACCAAGACACGATATCAAAGGAATATGGCCAGTTGAGACAACAGATGGTAGTGTGTAATGACAGCATAGTTTGAAGATGCCATGAAGGCAATTCTATCGATTCTCAAAAGTTTAGTTGTTGTAAAGTCAAAAAGTACCAGTATAAATGATCAATTTGCTTTGAGTTGAGCAATCATCACTGTAAAATCAAATAACCCAAATTCATACAAATAAAGTTGTAATACTTTAAATGATACAGAAACTCAATTGTCGAGCGGTATATGTGAATATTAAGATTCGTACGATGAAAAGGTATTATAGTTGCGTGCCATTGAAATTTATGTGGCAGTAACTTTCCGACTTTTCTTTTACTGGAGATATACCAGGCCTGAAATGTTAATAAGCATAAAGCATAAACGAATATTGATTTATCCACGAAAAACCTTCTTGATATTTGACATGGAAGAATTGGGATTACTTAAAGAAAGATGACATCATGGACTTAAATTACAACAGCAAGCTTTGGGCATAATCATGTACTACTCCATAGACAAAAGACAGTTACTGTCGAAATAATACAAACATGATGACATATTTAGGAGAGATAACACAATTTAATGAAAATAGTGCTACACAATGAGAAACTTAAAGAAAGCTTGGAACCAAACTAGAGGCTAGATTCTAAAGCACATGATATTTTGTCTAAGACATTAGGCGATGGATATGGAGGTTCGCGAAGAAGTCCTTTACACGTGAATACACAATAACGGTGTCATCTATAAGAGAACGAGCTCATCCACATGACGGGCCTACTTGGACACCTTTCTTTTTTCCAACAGGAAGGAAGAGAGAAGTTCCAGAGAAGAAAGTAGGAGCTCCAACGTGACTGCAAGCATTCGAGTACTCCACGTTCAATCGCCCCATTTAAACCCACTGATCTGACGCAGATAACATTAACTGCCCTGAACTTTACAGCTGGTGGGGCGACGGGACACGAACAGTATGTAGAGCGGAATATCTTTAACTGATTCGTCTGTAGATTTCATAAATTAGTCCTTTAAACATGGCCCAAAGAAGTACAAGAGCATTACTACGCTCTAAGCAGTTAATTGGAGTTCTGATAAGACGGTGAACATGGAGACTGTAATCTCGAAACCACAGCTAGATTTCCAAACAATATTAAGAAGCTTTATGAAATATGGGCGAACAAGATTGCAGAGCAAGCAGTGATGGAAGAAGAATACAATGACGAAAATTGCAAATGAGAAAAACAAAAGCTTTAAAAAAAAACCTAGAGGTATGCTTCGGTTTTTGTTGGGAAATCATTAACAGAATATTGCATCCCACAAAACTGCCTCTCTGCTACTATCAGATGCATAAGGAACCCGTTGAATATTGATGCCGCCGCCATCAACCTGCTCCATAGTTGAATTTCATTTCACGCCAAAATTCTGACAGTTACCGGTAGATGAAGCTCATGTACCAGAAAATTATCCCGGCTCAGATCATATAGGGCCAGGAAAGCATTTGACGCTCGGGTCTGATGATATGTTGGATAACGAGAGGATAGAGAATGAATGTTTAGTATTTACTCCAATGTCTTGAAGACCTTAGAGATAATCAAGTACTTCCCAAGCGTTGAAATCAAAGAAATGTGGAGCTGAGAACTAAACCAACGAATGGGCCATGTTACCATCCTCTCTAACATAACAAATGAGGGAAGAGGAGTAAAAGAGAAAAGGAAACAAAAAAGAAAATAGATAACTTATTGGAGAATGATGAAAAGTTGAAGAGGTGATGGATTATGGAAACAAAAAGCAAAACGACACCTGCAGGATTTGAACCTGCGCGTCCGAAGACATAGCATATCTTATATTCTGTAGGGACTACAGAAATTCGAGTGCTACCCATTAACCACTCTGGCAAAGTGCCTTATCACTTTTGGATACTGATAGGTGCATCAAGTAAGAATATATTCTCCATATTAATTAAGCTTTGATCACCGATTATCCCTTGTACGTTGTTCGAGCGCACTCAACATTTCTACTGCCTAATGCATGCTTGCTACATTTGAGATGATTGACCATACTCTTAATTGAAAGGGAACATTTCAATCTGATAATTCAGATCAAGATTAAATCAAAGGAAACTTATGGCAGCAAACGTGTACCGGTAGCAAAATATCGTCTAGCTTATCACTTATCGGAATAACACTAATTCCGGTTCCTCAGAAAATTATCTAGAACTAGAGCGTCATTATTGTCCACTGCAGTCATTGCGAATTTGCGGTTTATCATATTCTTCGATTCTGTGTTATTACAATCTTCATCTTCTTAATACAACACTCAACCTACCAACAAATTTCAATCATTTCATATCGCAAATATCAAGATGTCTACAACTCAACCATCTCAATTGACTCAACCTGATCCTGCCAATCCAAGAACTACCCCTCTCCTCCACAATGCATCTCTCGCAGCCCTCATCGTTTGTCCAATCGTTATGCGTAAGTCTCCTTCTCGATCTTGTTGAATTGGAATTGGAATTGGAATTCTAAATTTTGATGTCTGACATTGTGCATTTCACAATTCCCTATCTAAATGCGACTAATAATCAATTCCGAAGTCTCAGTATTAAACTAACCCTTTTGCCCCATACAGTTATCCCACCCCGCAAAATGGATGTCTATACTTTCGCTCTTATGACCACCACATTTATTGGTGGCAATCACTTAGCCTACGAATACACCGGTGTCTCAATGATGACCCGCATACAAAATCGTGTATCGTCTATCTCAACTACGGAATTGCCTGAAAAGGCAAAAGAAACTCAGAGAAGAATACGGGAAGCACAAGAAAAGAAGAGAATGGAGGAGAGTGGAAAGTTTCTAGGACAGACTTTTAAATCACAGGACGAGGGTACAAAGGGCAAGAGTGTACTTGAGGCATTAGAAATGAGAAGCGCTGGTCAACCAACTTCCGGAAAGGTCCAGGCAGAGGAGCAAGAAGGTGTTTTGGAAAAAATATGGCTAGGCGGCGAAGGGAAAGATTGGAAAGAAAAAAGAGACCAAAAGGAGAAGGAAGCTCTGGAAGCAGGCAAAGGGTATGGAGATCTAATTATGGAACAAATATGGGAAGTCTGGAATAGAGGAGAGAAGAAGATGGAAGAGGTCAAAAAGATTGACGAGAGAGTGGTAGACGAGAACAAGAAATGAAGGGTAGTGCGATTATACTTTGTAGGCGGAACGGGTATTGTATGAATCTAAGCTGGACTGGGAAAGGCGTTGAAGGTGCAATAGGTATGATGCTGCATTGGTGTAGATCTATTAGATCTCGGAGGTTTGAATTCACTTGTGGAAAATACATTGGAAGATTGGGCTACATCCACTCAATATCTGGTCGGAGTAATATGAAATGGTCTCGAACGATCGCGTCATTATCTCAGCTCTACTCCTCCTCATTTTGCTACACAATGCAGTTGTACGTTACCACCTGGTGAGCAGGAGCAGACTTATTAAGATATGAGGAAAATTGAATTGACAAAACAGTCTGTCGCGCATGAACTCTATCCATCTATTCACCTCCGCGTCACGTTCATCGGATCCCTTAATGATGAACTCAGCCCGCCGACATGCAATGTCATTGTTGCATGAAGGGATCCTTAGGGATTTTTAGTCCACCCATAAGGCTAAGATTTGACGATCATCACAGGTTCGTAACTCAATACACGAACCATTTTTCACCACAAATGTTATCTGCGACATTGAAGAAACTCTCGTCGCCCACAGACCTTCTTCTACTAAAACTCTAAACCAATCAAGGCTTTCGTTATAAGAGGAAAGTTCTCCAAAATCCACAATTCGCACGGACAATGGAGTGGAACTAGGAAACCTTACCTCCGTTTCACTTTATTGGGCTATGACCATCATATCCCCAAGTTCCAGTTCTATGTTTCTACCAATCTCTTCATCTCCAAATATTGATTGAAAATGTTTTAGTATGTATAATGTAGCTATTCGGATCTAAGTAGTTCTTGCAATACTTGTTGCAAGAAGTTTCCTACAACAAGTCAGGTTAAGTGACCCGTAGGTATAATTGACAACGGGTACTTGATAATTTTGCTGATCTTTTCACTGCTTATCTCAAAATAATTTCATCTGTCTTTCATTTGTTAGGCACGGGTATTTTTCTTGGTGAACCATTGACCGAGTGTCTTTTGAGGGGAGTTTCATGGTTCCACATTCTTGCTACGAGATATAAGTACATAGGTATTGGTAGCCTTGGCTTGAACTGTGTGTCTAATTGTCAAACTTACCTATACTTGCTAGATTTGAGCTGTCGTCTTTACCAGCACGCTGACATCCTTCCTTACATCAGTCTTTCAGTACTTCTATTCATACACTCATTCTTGGCTATTATACCTTAACGAACTCAAAGACCGTCATTCCTTGATCTAAGTTTTCTTCACCTTTTAATCGAATTTAGTCAAGCTGAGGCTATAATCTTACTACAAAATGATCAATCATAATTCAAGAGGGCTAGTGGGGGATTTGGTAGATGCGGGTGTATATGAAGAGGATTTTGAGTTGGTTTGGGCAAATAAGAGAGATGAAGATGCACATGATAACGAACCTTCTATTCAAACTCCTCCGAGTCCTCCAAGTCCTCCCAACCCTCCAGCGAATCCAGAGCCAGAACTACAATCCACAAGTACTAGTGATTCGACAAGTACTGTAAGTTTTAAAGTACCTCTTGTATTGTCATTGACTCATAAGATATCATAGACAGCGAAAATGACAACAGAAACATCAACGAGCATCGCAACAGCGAGCGCAACACCTACTGCTACACTAATATTACAAACCGCTGCATCTGTTAGCTCTCCATCAACGCTTTCCATTTCAACGTCAGCTTCATCCTCCGAACCTAGTAGTACATCTATCACTTCCGTGTATACACCCACATCCTCAAAGTCAAGTCCCGAGACAACAATAACAAGCACAACAACAAGCATGTTGAACGCAACCGCTTTGACTGCACACAACCCTACGATATCCCCACTTTCAAATGATCCAGACACGACGAAAGAACATCAACATACATCCTCAGCTCTGGCAGTAACAGTTAGTGTTACAGTTATTGTCAGTTTATTGGTACTAGCTGTTATGTCATTCTTAGTTAGGAGAAGAATTTTAAGGCAAAGGAAGAGAGGTAATGTGTTGAAAGACATAGGAGAGAAACCGAATCCGGGAATGGAAGCTTGGGCTGGTGTAATCCCCAGGGCTAAGGGGAATGGAATGAGAAACTCAGTATTTTCTGGCATTCGGTCGAATGGGATTCGAAACTCGATATTTCCTCAGGCACCTCGTCCCGCATTAATCAGAAATTCTTCGGTCTCAACAGCAGGAACCGCGAGGGACTTGGACAGATACGAAAAGGAAACAGGAGAAGGAACTGTAAGAGCGCCTTCAACTATGAGCTTGGATTGGGGAGATGGAGTATCGATTCATTCATTGGAAACCACTGATAGCGAACAGCCTCAAGGGTTGGGAGTTAGACCACAACGAAAAATGTCTCTCATTCAGGATTCAGAGGAAAACGATATCGAGAGTGGGGATGGGAGTCAGGGAATATTGAGCTATTATGCCAATATGAAATATCATCGTAATCCTTTTGCGGATCCGGAGCCGAATCTGAATATGGATACCTCCTTTTCATCGATTCAACTACCGAATTTTGAATTCGATACATGGGGCGACGATACGAATCGACTTTCGAGAATTAATCCTCAATCGCCTGGAGATTTGACGAGAGATAATTCGAGGAAGAACACGTTGAGTTCATTAAGGCCCACGAGTTTCTTGAGCGAAACAGATACTTTGGAAAGTCAAAAAGCGATGGCAAGAGCTAGTTTTGGAGGAGCGCTTGGGCATCTAGGTACGGCAAGATGGTCGAATCCCTTCTCGGCAAAGGAAAAGAGGGGGACAAGGGGATATGAGGAGATGGGAGAGTTGGAGAGAGAGGAGAGGGGTGAGGGAAAGTGGAAGGATAAGCTGAGTTGGGTCAAGGGACAGGTGGATAGGGTTAAAAATTAGAGGGTAGGACTTGGAATCAAGTGCAGGGGATGTTCATGAAAAAAAAAAAATCGGAGGTACAGGTTGTAATAGGTATACAGAGATGAACGGTTTAGACGGGGACCAAATAAAGATGGATTGGCGTGGGATGGATTCGCATGTTATTTCACTAAATACCAGGACTGATTTTTTTGGAGTTTGGCAGAGAGCATGAATACCCTTCATTTTTTTTGGTGTCTTTTCTGAACCCCACCCAAATTTACAATTATTTACTTTGTTAATTAATTTACTTTACTTCATTCCCTTTGTCAGATTATTTTATATCATATCATATCATATCATATTACATGATTTTTTAGGATTTTCTTTGTTGATGTGCTCGAGTATATAAATGTTGCATTTAATAATGTAATGCAATAATGTGATGTAATGTAGGTATCTTCGAGAGTAATAATCAAAATATGAGTAACATGGTTTATCAGTGAATGGATCATATCAGTAAATAGATCACTTTCATCTTAATTTACACTTTCAAAACTATATTATTCAATAATAATCAAATCAATTGATTGAAATTATAAAAATTCTAATAATCTAGGATCTATTATATTATTTTAATAGATTCTTATATTATAACCTATCTTTCCACATTTACTACAATATCGAATAGAAAATGCTTTCTTATTGAATTTATTTTCTTTTTAATGCTTATTGTATTGAATTTAAATATCAACCTCTTACTAAGATAATATATTAAAAGTCTTTTATCTAATGAGTATTTTTCCTTAACATAATTAGATTTTTTTCATACATTAATACTTACTTAATACTTTATTTACTACCCGAAATATATAATTCTCTACATTTAAAAATATGTTTTCATAAATTAATTTTTCTATATTCTTAATTAGAATTAGTATAATCTCAAATATAAATATAGGGGAACTTACTTGATAATAAGTTATTCAAGATTTAACTAATATTAATTAAAAAAGAGCTTTAATTGAATTACAAGGGGTTTGAAAGATTCATTAATTTAGATCGAAAGAGGGGAAGAATAAATATGCGAATTCAAATATCTAATTTCGAGAGTACAGCTTCAGGATTAAATAGGATTAAACCTGTTCTTCGGAATCCTGATTTTATATTCTGAGAGATAATTGATTTTTTATATATAGTTTTAAAAGCTATAAAGAATTCAATCTTCGAAATATAATTAATATATACCTTGATAAATCTATTAATTTAATTATTATATAAATATTTCAGATTACTAAAACAATCAACATTAAGTAATTAAATTAAATAATTTGAATATAATGATAAACGTAAATATATAATATTATTTTCTTTATAATATACTTGAAAAGCTATTGATTTATAGTTTTTATATTTATTTAGTATTAATATTCGATATTTGCTCTTTCTTCAATTCTTAATATACTTATTAAAATATTTCAATTATTTTAAATCTATCTTATTGTTCGTCCACTTATTAAATATAGATTTAATAGCCTATTCTATAGGAAGATTCGTTTTAGTATATTAATTGAAGAAATGAACTTGTCCTTAAACTATTAGAAATAAGAGAATAATTTCACCCTCTTCATTTCTATATATTATTACTATAGCTCATTCTTGATTATTTAATTATACTACCTTGCTTCTACTATTTCGTTCAGTATTAATTACTATTATTACTATATATATAATCCCCATTATAAAGCCTATTTCATTAAAATTATAGAAATCTTTATTCAAAATGTTATATTTCATTTACATATTTATAACTAATCGAAATCATTTTTCAAAAAGTTTAAAATTCTTATATATAAAAAATTGAAAATTATAAATATAATTAAAATATATCTTTAATTCAATTTAATATTTTATAAATTAATATACCCAAAGCTTTTCAATATATTTTATACTCTTTAATTTGAGAATATAATTTGTTATATCTTCCACATTCTTAAATTTAAATAAAAAACCTTTCGAATCCATATTGATTATATATTCAGAAATAATATTCTCTTCTAATTCTAAAAAATTATAAGATTTAGATTAACATTTAGAATGAAAGGTAAAATCTTTAATTCTATGCTGTAATATTATATTCAGGATATTATATATCTTCGCAGCTTTTCGAATACTTATTTTTTTATCTTTCTGAATAGTTTCGATAGTAAGGAATATACAAGCTTTTTAATTATTCGAATTTATTATGGATTATTAATAAAATGCATATTAAAAAAGAAGAGTATAAATTGAGGTGAAAATGATCTATTCACTGATATAACCCATTCACTGATAAACCACGTTAATTAAAATAGACATTTCCCTAGTCCTCAAAATCTAATCGAGGAAGCTTAACTAAAAGTACGGTGCACGTACGCACCACAGAGTGAAGAAAGAGATCTCGGTACTTACTGGTAGGTAGGTAGGTAGGTAGGTAAGGTGAGTTTGAGTTTGAGTTTGGAATTTAGAGTTTGGATTTTCAGCCCTAGATTTACTACGTGGATTTAACGGTGTGGTGGTGTGGGGTTTTTGAGTGTGAGTTTGGGTTGGGTTTGGTTAGGTGAGAGAGGGAAGGGCGGAAGGAGGGAAGGAGGGAAGGAAAGTTGTTAAAATTAGTGTTGATCGCTTGGGTGGGTTTGGAAGTGGGGTTGGAGGTTGGAGGTTTGAAGGGCGTTGCGATTGGGGGGTAAGGAGATGGATGGGGGAAAGGAAATGAATTGAGATGAAGTGAATTTGGAAATTTTCAACAGAGGCTTATTTTAGTTTTCATTTCGAAGGTTGAAAAACTTTAAAGTTTCAAGTTTCAAGTGAGGGTATTGGGAAAAGGTAAGAGATGGGGGGATTGTGAAGATTGTATGAGAGGTTTGGAGTTGGGGTGGGTAAGTGGTGAGTAGATGAGTGGACGTATTAGGATTGGGATTGAGGGTTTATGTGAGGAATGCAAGGGATGGGAGGAGATGATTGATGGTTAGTTGTTTGCACCTATTCTACCTACCGAGATAGGTAATTTTGTTGGGGCTATGAGGGTTTCTTTGAGGTTTAGAGGGAGGTAAGTAGGTAGGTGGGTAGGTTAGGTAGATGTATAAATGGTGATACTGAAGATGGGAGTAAAATGCATTGAATTGAATTGGAAAATCTTGATACGTACTATTTGTTATATTCTTCTATCTATTTATGAACGTATGGACGGATGAAGGAACGAATGAATGATTGTATTGAGTTCCATGCGATTCAAACCAGCTCAGTCAAGAATTTACCATTCTTGGATTCTCGTTTTTGAGATTGGAGATCGAGATGTGTACGTATATTGTATATATATAGAAGGGGGAATAATGGGAAATAGATATGAGATGGGATGACATGATATTATATGATATGATTAATTTTTGCTTCATTTCTCCTTTCCCGTTTTTCGAGCTTGGGATTAAGCGATGAGTTTGTTCTTTGAGGAGTTGAGGATGGGTGGGGGCGTGGGAGAAGTGAGGAAGGGGTGGATATGGATGTGAATATGGGCAGTTGCAGAGCAAGAAAAACTAGCAGTAAGAAGGATATCGATGACAATCTTATTAGCTAATTATCTACTATCAACAAATCCCCTCCAGAGTCCGATCCCACCCCTTCCAGATACCTTTCAAAGTACCTCCTCGTCAAACCTCCGCAATCCTATTCCTCTCACAGTAAACCCCAGCTAGCTAGAATATATGCCTGCCATGCCTTTACTCCTCTCAAGCCGATCCACTGACTAGTTTATAAACTCATTTTTCACCCCGCACCACTCTCGATACAATTCTCCGTCCTCCAAATCCAAAGAGCAACAGATCAGTATACACATATAAGATCCCCCCTCCCCCCGCTCCACGAACTTCAAACTCCACATCCCAACCCCCAATCGCCATCGGCAAATCCACTCATAGCCACCTCCCATCTGCCATCTACCATCGCAAAACTATCTAAACTACATCCCTCAAAACCCCAACCATCCATTCCTCATTCGAACAACGAACCATCCAACATCTAGCCAACCAAAGAAAGTCAAAGCAAGATACCCAGATAAGTTGGAGAACAATGACCTCAAATTTCTCCTTCTCATTGGTGTGAATCCTTACTTTCACGCATGCATACGATTGGATACTTTTACTCCGGACAATAATCGGGAGTCTGCTAGTGGAAGGTTTGACGATATAGGTGGTGAAGGAATCATGGCAGTGGAAATGAATGCGTTTGTCTTGGTTTTTCATTGAAAGGAATGCAAGGAAATCCATAAGTGCTCGTTATAGCTGCAGTAATGATAAGATTTATTGTTTGATATACCAACAAACAAGTACACCTACTCATCTCCCCCGGGTCCCTTCTAGCCCGTCCATTTCAAACCACGAGACCGACACGACTCCTTGATATTACCATGATCAATCCAGCCCTTATGTGACGAACAAGTTTCGCTTCAATCGCATTTGAGGATTTGCAAAACGAAGGTGGTAGCAATTTATTCCTCACAAATCTTCTAGTTCAAAGCTCACTTGAGTAGAAAATACACCTGATTATGCAAATACGTAGTACCGTATATATTTCATTCCTATCCGATTCGGCTATTTCCTGTCTTGTACCTTGATATGCGTAAAAGTGCTGGTCATTAATACGTAGATTACCCATCAAGCTCCGTCCAGAATCCATATTCTCATATATGGCTAGCTTAAACGCCCAAAAACACCTTGCAATACCTTGATAATTCAGTCCTCCACTCATCCATCAAATCACCAAGCCGACTGATCAAAATCAAATCTCTCCAACTCCTTCCCAGCATCCTCGACATCTTTCTTTGCCTTCATTCTCATGTAGAAAATTGGACAATCCTTACTACTACAAATAACTTCACAATGCATACTTCCCTGACACCTTTGACATTGTGTCCATAATCTTCCAAATCTGACTTCTAGATCCGATACTTTATTAAGTTGTTTCTGATACATTTCTCCAATTCTAGGAGCACAATCTGTACATACTGC